AAAGATAACACAATGAAAATCAGCATAGCCTCCTTCACCAAGCAGTTAAAAGAAATGGAAATCAACCCCCCAAAAGAAGGGACCATGGATCTTGGCATACATGATGTGTAACTTGATAGATGCATGGCATGACCCTGAATAAATACTGAGGTTAGTCGTGAAACTCCCTACCAATACACTTGGGAAACAATAAGCAATGATCATACTGCTTGGTTAAATTTTCCTTCTATCGCATGAGTAAAGCACGTCTTTTGTTATAATGTAATACCCTTTTCAGAATAAATTATCTTCCTTATGAGCATAAAGGATAGCCACGACCTATAGGTGTTGTCTCAAACTCCATAAGTGTATGACTAAAGTAATAGAAATCTCATAATGCACGACTCAGAATTGTTGTCACAAATTCCGTAGGGGTACAACTAAAGCAATTGAAACCCTACAACAAAAGGGACATGGATAGGGCTGCCAATGAACCGAACCAACTCGAAAATAGTTTGGAATTCGATTCGACAATTAAATCATTGAACTAGGTTCATGAACCAAATGAGTTGAGTATGAGCGAAAAATTAAGTTCGTTAACTAAATGAGTTGAACTTGAACTATACATAGTTCGACTCGTTAGGTTCATGAGTCAACTCGATTACATATGAGAAGAATTATAGTGTCTTTAAGATTATGTTTAAATATTTACTTCAATCTTAGACAAATTTAATCTTCAATTTAGTAGTTTTTGAATTAGACTCTCAAATGTATCTCTCAAGTGTAGGTTTTGAATTAGTAGATTTCGAAGATAAAGTTAAATTTCAATATGATAACTTTTATTTTATTTTAATATTTTATTTTTAAAAAATATATTTATTTAAAATGTCAAATATACTAAAAAATATATAAATTTTAAAAAATAGTTTTTAAGTCCGTGAATCATGTGAGTTGAACCTAACGAGTTGAACCGAACTGTTCGTGAATTTATAACGAGTCGAGTTTAAGCTTAAAAAAAAGTTCGTGTCGAACTCGAACTCGAACAATTTTTAACGAGTCGAGCCGAGCTGAGGTGAGTTCGACTCGACTCGACTCATTTCCAGCCCTAGACATGGATAAAAATAACATACCAGAAAGTGGTAATCAGGGCTCACCCTTCTCTTGGTAGATAGTCACTTTAAGGGCATAGGTGAGTCCCCACTACATCGACCTCAAACCATGCTTAAACTTGGGGGGAAAGAGCGCGGTCCCTAGAGATGTCAAATAAAACTTTCGTCTGAAATCTCAGACGTTAGGAATTCCCAAAGAAACGAACTCGGGGAACTAAAGAAATATTGGAATAGGTAAAAATAATAATGGTAATTAAACCAAATAAAATAATTATGAAGTAGAAATTATAGAATTTATTCACAACTAGTATTACACCGAGTATATTCATACTGGACAAAAAAAGACAAAAAAAAAACACTATAAGGTAGGCTTATCCCCATTAAATACCGATTTCTCATCCATCATCTCCTGATCATGATGGATTTGATCTCTTGAAATGCACGTTTGATAGGATGATCTAAGCAGCGGTCAGCGCTTCATCCTCCATCTTTAACTCTTGTACAAATGACTGAACCTTCTTGTCCAACAAGACATGGTACTCAAAATCATGTAAACCCTCTCCTATTTTTTACAACACGACGGCCTCCTTTTTTAGCTCCTCCAAGAACCGGTCTTGCTCAAGTGTAAGAGCACTAATGTGTTCCTAAAGCACTTATTTTTCCTTCGAAGACGGTCAGGGGAGAAAACATCTCCCTTTTTAGCATAACCAAAGGCCAAAGCGGTTGATGTCTAACGAGTTTGGTATGCCATTTTATCCAACACCTTATAACAAACAGCCCCGTCCTTTCCTAAAATGAACGTGTAATCCTCCTCAAAAATATAGGATCGAAATTCTCTAATCGTCTACGGACAAAAACAGGCCAAAAGTGAAGGTGGTAATGCAGTTGTGGTCGATGTTACGTATACACCAAGATCAGACTTTCTTAAGTTTTGCGTAAGCATTTGATGTCATACAGATAGCCTTTTCCCATTAGGTACCTCTACAACAGGCCAATTGGCAGGACTTTTTCTAGTTACGAAGAGCAAAGAGTGTAGACCACCTTCCATCACAACTCGGTATAGAGAATCTTGTACTTCCACTTGGGTCGGGGCAGAAAAGTTAATTGCGCTCATACCGACAGGAGACGTTGTACGCGGAATTCCTTTAGAAGATATCACAATAGTCGTAACCGTATGCAAATGAGCGACCCTAAACGTCCTCTTTATTTGAAGCAATGTGTTATAATGTTTCATCTCATATGCAAACCAGAGATTAATTAAGACAAGGATATATTAATCATCTAAGAAGCGCTAAAGGAAAGAGGAAGTCTCCCGCATTACTCACCAAAGATTACTTTCATATCCTCGCTTGTAGCAACTTTCACTAACAAGTGTGTCTCTATGACTCATTTCTTTTGTTTCCTTGGCACCTCCCCCAAAAGAGCAACATTGTCAACATAGTCCAAATATTCAAATAAGACTATTTATTTCCCTATTGAATCTAATTGAACGGCAACCTAAACAGAGCGCTGAATAACACGCTAACGGTTTTAATCGCTCGTACTATATAAAGATTAGGTCGTGTCATTTTAGATTTTCAATTCATTCTCACAAACTACTTTTCACTCCATCATTAACTTTGACGTTGGAGTATTAATCTTATAGGTTTACCCACTTTCCAATACACCGGAAGTCAGATCCACCACACCAAAAATTTGATCCAACGTGTATGAGCTTTATTTCATCTCTTTATTGCTTATCTCGAGTCCCCGAGCAAAACAAATAACATGGCCTAAAACCAAAATCGCAATTAAAATAGTCAATCAATTTATCTAAAAGAATTAGTCATTTGAATATTTTACCCTAATAACATGATTACAATAAAAATTAAAAGAATGAAAATTTTTGGCTTTACAAAGAGACACTCTTATAAACAAAGTGATCTATTACAGCTTTCATGAAAATTGACCTTATTTAAAATCCATCTTTTAAGATTTTGAACTATGTAGATAAACTATGAAACATTCTTTGATCCATCATTTTCTTCCTAGCTGTCAAATTATATACATAACCCCCTAAGTTATTCCCTTTCCATTACCTAATTTGTACCCTACATACTACATACATATCCATTGTTTTTGCACAAAAATAATGAACATCTTGAACCTAAAACAATAGTCACTTTCAAACTCAAAATCAGATACACATGGGTGAGTCTTTGTCAATTCCTAAATATTACAAGGGCAATATAGTTATTGTTCATTTTTCTAAAACTATATTTTGATAGAGACTTTTATAATATTTTGAGAAAAAGTGAATCAGAAATCTCTCAAAATACTCATATGTTTTTAAAGCATTGATTTTCCTATCTACAGGTGTCCTAGAAAGAAAAGGGTATAAGAAAAAAAATTATGAGGGTGTTCCAAGCAACATTCTACTTTGTTACCAAGACAAGAAAAAACAACTCATTTGGTGATTATGTGTTCACCTTGAAATGTATGTACTTTTATAGTAAGAAAATTTGTTACTAGAATGCTTTGAAAAGGTAGTTCTACTTTGAAACAATGTCAAGAGCTAAAAAGTGAGAGTACTTTGAAAGAAGAAATATGGAAGTACATGTTTGAGATTTACTATTTTCTGCCCTTATTCACATTGTTATATCTTTTAGATTTAATTTGTACACAACTCAAAACATGGTGATTTTTATCAGAGATTAAAAAAAAATAGTAATAAATTAAATGGTGTTATGATTTTATAAAGTTATTGTTATTAACTATTAGTTGTTAATCAATTACATAAATTTACAGTGAGATGTGATAAATTAAAAATATTGACACAATATTAATTTAGAGATAAAATAAGAGATCTTTTTAACAAAATCACACAAACAGCATTTATTTTATAAATTATAATGTTAAACAATTTTTTTAGAGGTGACAAAACACACGCCATTTCTTTTTTAAGAACGAATCAAACTAAATACATTAAGGGGGTAGACATGGATTTTTGTCAGGTCTCTGTTCTGGTTTTTAAAATGTGGCTCACGAGGTCTCTGACCTTTTTTTCCCGAGCTATTGCAGGATAGACCTTATTTAGTTTATTTGTAGAACATATTATAAATTGTTGCAAATGAATATAAAACCCAACTATCTTAACCAGACTCACGAGGGTAGAAAAGTAAGTAACACAGAAATAGTACATATTTGGTTAGATGATAGGATTTTTAAGCTTGGTAAAACTAACAGCAAAAATTCAGAATGAAACTTCAATAAATAACTATTCAATTTTACAAATGTTATTTCTTGTACAAATGTTTAAAAACTGTATATAAAAAACGCTTAATCTTTTTAAGTGCATAACATTATCATATGAACTTGATTTTAATTCTTTAGACAATATTTAGACCTCAGATAATATCACTCATTAAGGTTTCATTCTCAGATAATATCTAGACAATATTTAGACCTCGGACAATATCTCCCAAAACTTCATAAACTTCAGAAATAGTGAAAATATATAGAATGAGAAATGAAGATATTTCATTCTCATGAAGGTTTCATCAAAATCATCTTCCGAAAAGACATTAAGTCATAGCTACTTAGTGCCAAAAAGCACCACCCATCATGAACTATTCTGACTACAAAGCATCAGGCAATCCAAGAACTCGTATCAAATCCGAGTATTTGCGCGATTAAAATGAAAGCAGAAGCCATTTAAAACCTCAACAGGCCAAATAAAAATATATTCGGACACATTAAACAACAACTAAGTATAACAAAAACTTAGAAAATGTGGCTTCTTATTTGCAAAATGATGGCATATTCCATCCCAAACAAATCCATATTCAAACAATTTATATTAATCAATAATGTAACATTTCTTTCATCAAACGATGAGGATGCAGACTGTTGTCAGGAGAAAATTGTTGTCTTCTAAATGGAATAGTTTACCGGTTCCCGGAGGATTCTCTCCATCTGTTGTGCCCTAGTCTTTATAGACATGTCAAAGACTTTTTGGCTGAACTCCAGCACTAGACCGCCAAGTATGCTTGGATCAATCTAAAAATTTAAAACCCATGTGTAAAGCTTTAACTTAGAAGAGGAGCGCGAATATATCAGCATACAAAATGAATGAGATAAGAGGAGCTAAAAACGTTGCATCTATTATGATAGTTAGGCATTGTATGTATGTAACTATATAAGGGATAACATGTAAGAAAAGATGTCACATTAATACCTTCTGTTCAAGCTTAACCTTTGCCCCGGAACCTAGCATTTCCTGAACAGTCTGCTTCAATGCATTCTCCTCCTCAGGGGGAAGAGCCTAGTTAAAAATATACATATAGGAAGTTAGGTAATGTAGAAATTATTCACTCTCTTGTTTGATGAGATGCCAATGCTAATATGAATCCCAAAAGCATTGAAAGGTGTGCACATTTAGACACCTTAAAATAGAAAACATGCAGTAATCAAGTATTACAGCAATAAATTATGTTATACCATATTATATTATATATACACGCATACTTTAAGAGTGAAATAATCTATTTGCAAATATTATAGATATAACTTCTGCAATTAAGAGTACAAATATTCAATAGCATGCACTAATTTTAGAAATAAACTAGCCATCAAAGAAGCACCACTTACAATGACAGTAGTCACGGTTGCTTTCACTTCTCCCTTATATGCCATTGCCAACTCTGCAAACCTCTTTGCGATGGTATCTACATTCTTAAGTCTGCCATTCTCAGCAAGGAGAACTTTACAACAAAATAAATTAATCAGCACATTAAAGTTATTGGTTTTAGATAAAGAGGAAAAGAAAACAAATAAATACACTACTGCAACTTTAAGGTTGGAATTGGATAATTATTCCACACAATACTAAACACTAAACCTAATTTATGCTAATAAAAACTAACCCTAATTAAACAGAGAAGCATATCATAATAATAACAAAATACAGAAACTAATCTTAAGAGATACTTCAAGATAATCTAAGATAAGAAACTTATCTACCCCTTTGAGATAGTAGGTACTTCAAATAATATGATATTTTCAATTTCGTAACACTTTCCCTCAACTAAACCTTGTTAGCTCTTCATGAGTACACTTTGAAAGAGAAAAATAACCAAACAATATAGTTTGATATTTAAGCTTGTCATGGGCAGATACATATGGAACAAGAGTCAAGACCAAATTGCAGCAGGAATAAAACTTAAGCCAGTCTGCAATAATGAAAAACAAAAGTGCAATCGAGACAAACTATAGTTGAGACAAAACTAAGCAAACCTACAACAGAGACAAAAACAGTGCCATACAGACAGCAACTAAGTAGGAACCAGTGCCAAACCACAACCAACATAAAACCATTGACAAACCCAGACTGAGACAAAAGCAATATCAAACAGCAGCTCCAACAAAATCAGTGCAAAACGACAACTGAGAGAAAACTAGTGTCAAACTGCAGCTTAGAAATTCAGAACAGACTGAAAAGAGGACACAACAGAGGAGAAGACTTGAACACGCCAGAAAGTTGACACGGGAAAGAATATGAACACACCGAAAACAAGGCAGAATCAAGATAAAACATTGACAAACCAATATCAAACAGCAACTGCAACAAAATTGGTGCAAACCCACGACTGAGACAAAAGTAATGCCAAACTGCAGCTTAAAACTTCAGAACGGCCTGAAAAAGAGGATATGACAGAGGTGAGGGTTTTGAACACCCAGAAAGTAGACACGGGATAGAATATGAACACCAAAAACTAGGCAGATGGATGACACCACAGCAGAGAGCTTCAAAACACAAGAGAAGGCCAAATTGTGTACAAGAAAATACAGTTTCAAATTTTAGTAGTGTTTCAAACTGAGGAACTATAAACAAAATAGTGACGGGATAAGTACCAGAGGATAGTATGCTTCGATACTATGATGAAGTTATATGATTTTACATCACAAAGCAGGAGAAAAATAAAGTCTTTGAGCTATGAATATAGTGACATTTCTGAGAGGATTACAATTTTCTACGGAAAAGACTACTAACTAACCCTTATTTATACTAAGACAACACTCCAGGTTGCAATTAAGCAGGGAAACAAAATCATGATAATGACAAAGATAAATGAAAACTAATCTCAAGAATGGTCAGAGATATTCTAAGATAAGAATTGTATGAGATAACTAAGATGATATATCAAGATGTTTAGTGCGTTATCATATAGTCTAACACAACAAACTACAAAATCAGAAATTAAGTATCTGAAGGGACACTGGTGTAACTAGTAGTCTTCCAAAACAACAAAACAAGCATAAAACATTCGAAATTCCAAATACCGCAATATTGCATATTGTTCACTAATATATTTTTATTAAATGACCTCATACTTTTCTATGGGGAAAAAAGATAGGAAAATTGAAAATAAATGTAATCAAAACACTCGAGATAAATTGGTGGTAATGACAGTACATCGAAGGAATCCTTAGAACCCAGTGAAAGATGTGACTGTTTCACAAGCAGAATTGGCTCCAATAATTAGGTTGGACTTGCATAACATGAACCAAAAAAGACATATAAATGAAATCAAGGGAAATTTCAGGGTAGCAGTAGCACAATGCTATGTGATCTAGAGGCTAAGGGAAAAAAATTCATTCACATCCATTTCAGACTTGATGTTCTAGAGACAGCAGGAAATTCACATTTATCATTCCGGTGGAGTATATCAAAACAGATAACTTTGCTACTTTTGATTGAGGCTTGTATGATACCTGTGACTAGAAATCAACTCAGAAAAAGATAATTTACAGCTATGACATCCAAGTTAAAATAATAAATTAATAACTCAGTTTTTTAACAAATTGATAGCACTCCTGAGGACACCAATTAAAACATAAATTTCCTCACACGTTTGAACGATTATTTTGGTGTGAATCAAAAACAAGCAATAAGCCAAAGAGACTCAAAATGCAATAAAACCGTCGAACGATATTTATAAACACTCTACACATCCCATCTCATTATATAGCCTTATATCATTGAACTGTGAGCATTCCACCTCAACCAAATATACAAGAAATACAAAAATATTTAGTCTAGAGAAAATAAAACCCAATGTGAACAAGTTTGTAATTTATATTTGATCTCTGTATTGAATCCAGAAGTGAATTTAGATGCTAACATCATTGATGTGAAATTTCCTTTTGCATGGAAGAAAACAAAAATGTAATAATTTCTAACTCAAGATTATAAATCACGTTATAATATTTTAACTTACTTTAGCAACATAATTGAAACAGTAACTTGATTAAAACAATACTCTAATAAGTAAAACCTATCTTACCAAGGAAGTTCTTTGTCACATCAGAGAACTTAGCTTGGCTAGCAATATCTTGGATGATTTTTACTCTAACATCCTTAGCCACAGATATATCCTTTATAAATTGTGAGGTTATGGGACTACCCTTTACTCCCTCAACGAACTGAATAAGCTCAGAGTCAACCTTGTCAACTGCATTAACTTTCACTGCTGCAATATACAAAGCAGAGGCATAGTTTCCTGAACCTCCAAACATTGCGATGGGGACCTAAAACAAAAATAAAAATCAAGAAGATTGAGGGAAAATCAAATCAATCCAATAACAACAAAATAGATGGTATAAAAAATTAACAAACATTCAACCTGACCTAAAGAAAATACAATATATGTAACAGAAAGAAAAAAATCAGTAAGCAAGTATTGAACGAAAAAATAGATATCAAATTAGTACTTGCAGTTTTATTCAATTAACTGAATTTAAACTCTTGATTTTTTTATATTTTCTTTTCGTCTTCTACTAATCACGGAAAGGAATGAACGATTCAAGACCTATATATCTCTGGTTACCTTAATTTTGGTTTCCTTTTGCCCCGGCACATCAGCATAATTTCTGGAGGCCTGCAGAAACATAAAACGAAAAGATAACACATTATTGCCTCCAAAAACAAAACAATTGCAACCAACAAGATGAAAAGTTGAAATATGAAACAGTCAACACAATATGAGAATGCAAGTTCTTACCCTTCAATCACATGCCTACATGCAACAACAACAAAAATTGATAACACATCATTGCCCCCCAAAAAACAAAACAATTGCTACCAACAATATGAAAAGCTAAAATGAAGCAGAGAACCAAATCCAGTGTATAAGAAACCTCAAAACAGTCAACACAATATGAGAATGCAAGTTCTTACACTTCAATAACATCCCTATCATGTGTAACAAAAAAAAACGGATTACCAAGTTCATAGGTTATAGGCATAAAATGGTCATTTATTACACACAAACTTGAAAAATGGAGAAACAATATTCTTTTAAATGTAATCTTTCCCAGCAAAATCGGATGACCAATTTAATGGGTCATATGCTCCCTTGCACCGACACATCTGAAAACCAACACTTGTACTTGCATTGTAATTACGTCGAATACATCCATTTTTTTAAAATTATTACCGATTCGACAGGTCAGTATCGTGTTTCAGTGTCCAGGGTGTCCGGGGTGTCCGTGCTTCATAGGTTGTATGCACGATATGCACAAAAGGGGTCGATTCTCACACAACCATTCAAAAAATGGAGGAAATAAAATTGAAACAATCAATGAAAAAACAGTTTCCCAACAAAAATGGATCACCAATTTAACGGGACATGTCTGTAAAGGGATAATTTCTCAAACAAACACTCACAAAATCAAGCTATAAGTCTAACACATTTGATCACTAGGTTAAAAAACGTGTAAATTCTCAAAACTTCAACGATCTATAACTTTATCAAACATTGATTTATCGAATCGAATCAAAATCAAGATAAAAGCGAGATTACTGTATAAGAGATTGAAATTGAGAACGGTTGATTCACCTGGGAAATGGAAGGTGCAATGAGAGAGCGTTGAAGAGTAGATCTCTGAGAAGTAAGAAGACCTAATTTGTTGCATAGAGAGATCCCAGATTTGACGCGACCGTAAAACGCCATCACCGCAATTTCGAAACCCTAATTTTGTTTTCTGGATTCTGCGTTTTCTGTTTGATGGAGTGAGAGAAACGAAGTGATATGCTGTTTGCTCAAATGGGGCTGAAGCTGTAGATGAAGTCGTGAATTTGGCACGTGCGGGGTAAATAAATATTTTCCACCCTTTATTTATTTTTAACAAGAAATTCCACATTTTAAAAAAAAAACATTCACTTTTTGCAATAAACAATTTTTCATTTTTTAAATGATTATTTAAAAAAATCACACAAATTCATAATATAATATAGCTATAATTCTACCAAAAATATGGGATATTGTTGTGATGATCTATAGAGGTTTCTCAAATCATCAAACAGAGAGAATGAACATTTGAGGCAAAGAAGATAAATGTGTCTTTCACAAATGTTTCTCTATCTTTAGAAATTTTGAAAATAATGTTAGAACTTCTGTCACGAACAAATATCTAAGAGTTGAGAATTGGATTCAGAAACCTGGTTCAATCCTTCTATCGAGAGATGGAAATGTTTGCAATTTTTCAGGAAAAAAAACTAAGAAGGAAGAAATTGTTGAGAAATTGAATGAGTTGATTAAATTATTAAAGGATTAAGGCATGAGCTTAAATCTAGATGAATCTTTAGTTACTTCATCAACAAACTCCTATGAAGAAGAATCAACTCCAACAATTTCTTTAAAAAAACAGCCTCAATAGTTAAACGATCTACGGAAGATTCAACGTCTAGTGGAGAAACTTCATCAAAAAGAGAACTTGAAGACGAAGTTTCATCCAATGAAACATTTGAAAGAAGAAATAAAAAGAATAACTCGATAAGCAAGATATTCAGATATTCAACATCAAGGAGAAAACTCAAAGAATTAGCCTCTGATAGAACTTTCAACGAATATTTTTCCAACGAAGAAGATGAAGTTTGTTTGAAAGCACCTAACAAGGAAAATGACCGTGAGGTAAAGAAGTTATCATACAAACAATTATTTAAAGTGAGCGTTAAGTTAATCAACAAAAGTAATAAGATTAGAAAATGTAACTTAGATGTTAAAGATTATCTAGAGTTTCTAGAAAAGAGTAATGAAACGCTTAAGTTTGAAATGGTAGAAACCAAGTTGGAACATGTGAGATGTGCGTCTCAATGAAAAAGGAAGTGAAAAAACACATAAAACTCTAAGTAAATTTACCGAGGGAAAATAAAATATTGATTTGATTGTATCAAATCAAAGATCTTCCTTGAATAAAAATGGATTAGGGTTTAAGTCCAATAGATCACTCAGTAAATGGTTTAATAGGAAGAAAGGGAATCATCATGTTTATAAATGCTCTTACTGTAATAAATTTGGCCACCTATAGCCATTTTGTTTTGATAAATTAAGAAGGTCTAAAGATGGTAACCTTAGGCCTTTTAGAACTACTAACGCACATGGACCTAGGAAAATTTGGGTACCAAAGATAAAAACCTAGTGTGCTTTGCAGAGATGTTTAATAGCTTTAATAAAGTTGTAGTACTTTTTAATAAAGTTGTGAAAAGAAAAAAAAGATACTCTTGAGTATACTTAACTTACCTGATAGTGTTAGATTATACATATGTTTGTGTTCCAAGAATGACCATTGGTGGTTTATTTCAACGGTTGTGATCAAAGAAAATGTTTGTTGAGGATGGTCTCAACATTTATGATATGTGATGTTCATTTAAGACACTTTGTACTAATTCTATAGAATAGTGAATTTTCTTTCTTGGACAGAGTGTCATCCAGACGCATGTGTTGTTTACATCAAACTGGGTTATCAATTCTCTTGTGTTATTTATTATGTTTATGCTTCATCGTCTTGTATAAGTTAATTTGTTTTAACTTGGTTGTGTAACTGGTTTTTACTTTTTGGTATACAATGTCTCAAACAACGTGTCTGGCATCTATCTCCAAAATCTATTATATATCATAAACTAGTCGTACATATTGTCCTAGGCATCTTGTAACACCCTAATTCCCCGATTTAATATTAGTAAGATAAATTAATTTTTAACTCAATACTTAGAGTGTCACGCATGTTTCACCAAACATAAAAACCAACAAAACAAAATTATGTGAATTAAACAGCGGAAACAATGGAGTTTGACATATAACGTCTTAACAACGTGTGAATAATAAGGTAGTTCAACAACTCCAAAATGATAAGATATGTAACAGTGAAATATAGAATAGTTCATCCCCAGTGCTACATATCATAGCGACTCCACTAAAGACCCGAATGATAAATCATTAAAGATGTCTTAACTCCGTCCTCCAGATCAAGCAACTACTCTTCTACCTGATTGTCTGTACTCTAAAGGAGCATATATGATAGGTGTCAAGTATATATTAGTTTTTGTATCCATTTGCGACACTTTTAAGCTCTTTTCCATCCTTCTGATAATGAGATAGCTTATTTAATAAGTGATTCTTGAATCAATGTACATATTTGGTAATTTTAATGTGTTTGCTAGTTTTTCAGTATTTTATGACAAAAGGGTGCAGCGAAAGTCGGGAGAAAAACTGAAGAATCGAAGAAATTTACGTGTCAGAGAAAATAGCATCTTCGCCCAGCGAAGAGGAAGTGAAGGAATGGTTGTTTCGCCTGGCGAAGGCAAGGCGAAGCATCAGGCGAAAGAATGTTGAAATTCCAGTAGCTACTGGAATTGGTTCGCTGGCATATTCGTCAAAAGAAAGCGAAGAGAAAGGGATTCGCCCGGCGAATACATATATTTTCCTCAGCCTACTGGCATTGTAGCTGTCATGTGGCTTGCTTAAATGGTTTCGTCTGGCGAAGCTTATAGCTCGCCCGACGAATTTGCTTGGACAGAAAGTGTATAAATTGGTACTTGTTGATATTTTGGAACAACTTCTTACTTTTGATAGAATTTGTTTAACCTAAAAAACACTTGTGTGGAGAAAAAAAGTCATCTTCTTCATTTTTACCTAGAAATCAAAGCTTTTAAGCTTAAATCTATGATCCTTTCAAGTTTGATGCTCCAAAAGCTTTGTGTGTTACTTGTTGCTCAAGCTACCATGATTATGGGTAGCTAAATCTCTCCTTATGTCGAGATTAGAGGTAGATAATCCTCACTTTTGTATGTAGTTATCTTGATATTTTGCATGTGAACAAGTTGATGATGAATATATGGTGAAAACCTTGTTTTTAAGGTTTATATTTGTGTTGGGTCATTATTGAGAAATATGTTTCAACTATTGACCTAGATTTTTCATCTATCAACAAATAAAGTTTATAGATAGTTTTATGAGTTGATATTCACTAATATCAACCCTTTAATGTGATCATATTGATAGTTAGGTTGAGAGATCATCTAAGGATCAATATGATAAAACTCATAATTTGTTTTAGAGATGAAATATCTTGAGAGGATATGTGATTATATTGATTGTTAATAAGTTCACATGCTTTATTAAGAAAATACGTACGAAATGGATTGTCGAGCCCTAACTTGACATGCTTTTAAAAATTGTTTTAAAACCAAAACTCTTTTACCGTTGCTTATAACTTTTTATGCGATCGTTGTGTTATGAAACAAAAACAAACATCTTTTATGTTTTATGTTTAAAACAATTCCAACTGTAGAACGACGGTAATATCAACCAATCCTTGTGGAAACGATAACAAAAACCCCCCACTAATACTATTTAAACAAAATGGCTCCGTTTTCGGGGATTGTTGTTTGATATTGCAAGCATTGCAATAGTTGATAAGTTTTAAACATTGTTTACCTCAGTTCCTTTTTCTTGTGCTTCTTAATTTGTTTGATTAAGTTTTACATATTCTGTTTATGCTAGGAAATTTACCTGCAAATCAACTTCTTTTTGATTTGGAGATTGAGAGAACTGCATGTAGGTTGAATAGCAAAACTAGACGGAGGAGGCAACTTGTTAAGGAAAGACGAGAGAGAGAGAGAGAGAGAGAGAGAGAGAGAGAGAGAGAGAGAGAGAGAGAGAGAGAGAGAGAGAGAGAGAGAGAGAGAGAGAGAGAGAGAGAGAGAGAGAGAGAGAGAGAGAGAGAGAGAGAGAGAGAGAGAGAGAGAGAGAGAGAGAGAGAGGAGAAAGTCTACTTCTACACCAAGACCACAGTTTACGCCAAACATGGCAGCTTCACTACCACCACCACCACCTCCTGTTTCAACAGTCCACGACATAACACATAGTTTTCTCGTAATTTGAATAATGGAAGGCAAACTGAGATGAAGACGGGGATTCTCCAACTCTTATATGGAAATCCTTTCATAGGATGGATCGCGAGGATCCCTTTGCTCATCTTACTAAATTCTATGAGATTGCGGGAGCAGCTAGAGTAGATGAAGATCAAGAATTACAATTGTTCAAAAGACTATTTCCTCATTTCTTGATTGGAAAAGCGAAGGAGTGGTATCTTGACCAACCCAATGTTGTTATGACTAATGGAATATTTTGGAAGAGAAGTTCTTGAAAAGATTTTTCCCTCACTATCGATTCAAGGATGCAAATATTTCAATTTCCATGTTTGCTCGGAGTACAAATGAATCTCTCAATGAAGTGTGGGAGAGGTTCAAATCTATGATCCAGAAGCGCAAAGGCCATGAATTCTATGATTTAGCACAAGTCCATATTTTCCTAAATGGACTTCAATCTACTCACAAAACTTTATTGGATGCTGCTTCGGGAGGGTCTTTATTGTCAAATAGTGTTGAGGAAGCGATTGATATAATCAATAAAATGGCACTCAATGATCTTCAAGGCCAATACAACCAGGGTACAATTCAAAAGAAACCATGAATGCTTGAATTGGGGTCTAACGATGTTATTCTTGCTCAAAATAAATTGTTATTCCAACAAGTGGAGTTGTTGACTCAAAAAATGTCAAAGCTTCCACAACAACTAAAAGATATGTAAGAAATGCCGAGCAAGAATATACAAATAGCAATTTGTGAATTATGCAAAGGAGATCACCCCACCAATCATTATCCTCTAGA